AAACTGTCATTTTGGCCTCTCTTTACAGCTTCAACAGGCCGATCGAGGCCTCCGGCTCACTTTTAGCGATTAATTTGTGAAAGATAAAGTTGGAGTAAAAAGTAACACTCGTGTATTCTAATAAAGTTTGTACACTCGCCATGTTTGTCTTTGTATTACTCCTGTTGTGGGGATGAAAATGTGTTTGCTGTGAATGTGTTTTAGTGTGAAAACTTGTAAAGTAAGTCTTATGCCAGCAGTTATTGTGTGTGATCCTGTATTAGGGACTTTGTTTGCATAGACATATTGTGGGGACTAGCAAAGCAAGGTTGAAGTTTAAATTTACATAACTGTTATACCTTCCACACCTGCAACACTCCACTTGGGTCCAGCAAATGGAAATTTTTGAATCAGAGGGGCAAGGCTTTGTGTGAATGTCTGTGTACCTCCCATTTCTTTATGACAAACTGGGGGTGGTACAGCTCAGGCCCACACATTTTGGCATAGGGGCACCAACTATAAAAGTGTTCTCCAAGCAGACTACAAAATAGGCCTATCCAAGTAAAGGTTATGTGTGTGTTTGCCAGACAGCCCTAAATTTAAATTTCTAATTCTTCTGATATTTAAGGAAGGCAAGGACAACTTTGGCTGGTCCCCACTGTGGGACAGACTTTTAAAGGCATGTTTGGGTGTTCAGACTGGGTTTGAGGTACTTACCACAAACAAAAGCACAAAAATACGCTAGTCCATGTTAAGCAGACTGTCAAATTGTGGACACCTTGTCTTTGTGAACTAAAAATAATAATTTACTATGTAAATCACTAACTTTCAGTGACACATTTTAGTTTAAGTGATGGTATAAAGTGTGCCTCTGCTGCTGTATTTGTGAGAACTGGCTTCAGTTTTAGTCCATGGGTCTTTGGATATAACTTCAAAGAGCTGTTCTATACTAGTACTTGTACTATTCATATTGTGGGGAGATGGGACGAAGAATAAATCTGTATAAGTCATATTTCAGGAATCTGCTGGTTTGAGTTTTTGACCGTAGTAGGACCTTTTAGCTGACTATTAGCTATTTTCCATCAACACACATAATCCTTGTGAACAATCTAGGACAAGTTATTCTAAAAGAAAATGCTGGCAACCACAGAACTGATGGGCCCACGATCCATGGATACAAGAGTGGTTTCCTCAAAAGAAATAAACAATAATTGGCAAAGGCAGCCTACAGATTGTGGGTAGTATGACATTCTTCCCATGGAAATTACCCAAATTTTTGCTACTGATGGTACAAATGTTGGGTTGTCAAAATGCACAAATCCAAAAAGTTCAGGTTAAGGTAAAGATGAAGTCAGCAAGTGTATTCACAAAGATGCAAGCACAAATATGTGTGTGTGTGTGTGTGTGTGTGTGTGTGTGTGTGTGTGTGTGTGTGTGTGTGTGTGTGTGTGTGTGTGTGTGTGTGTGTGTGTGTGTGTTACTGCACTGGACCTTTTTATCAGCTACTCTGGATCAGGCCTTTATCTCCATCTAGTGGTCTGATTGTAGTACTGACAAATAAATGTGATCCACCAGGCTGCAGCACTATAAAATCACTGTGCTCTCTGTCCTTTGAATCACTGTTGTATTTTTATTCATTCAGCCTTTTTGGATCTTTGCAGATTTGCTTAGATAAACTTTTATTCTACAAACATAATCTTACATCACAAAGTAGATTTCTTACCAAGAACGCGATGGGTCTCAAAGGCTCCAGTTTTGCTTAAAAGTCCCTATATGATTTGAGCACTTATACATTTATTCTTAAATTTCTCACCTTAAGTGGAAATTCAGCTGTGTGGCCTCATCTTATGTTGTGTTGTGTAACTATGCCAAGGAAACCGGTCTATATATCAACCAGAAGTAGACAGAAATGATGATAACATGTTAGTTGGTCGACCCTGAAGAATGCTGAAGTACTTTGGTAGCCTGATAGCCAGTGACCATAAAGACATCAGAGGCAGAGTTAACAAAGCTTGAGGTGCTTTTATAGCCAGCTCAGTCACTTCAGGAAGTTGAAGCAACACAACTTTAAAACCAAGACCAGGCTCTATAATAGTGATGTTAACTCGGTGCTACCATGTGGCTCAGGATGTTGGAGGGTAGTGCAGAAGGACATGAAAAACACTGACACCTTCCAGCTGTCTTAGAAGGATCTGCAACACCTGCACAGCCTAAAAGGTCTGCAACAGTAGAGAAGACATCGGTGTAACTTTGTGCTGAAAATTGGGGGGGGTCAAGATCTCTGTCTAAATAAATAAATAAATCTGGGTAAACTCAGATGATTAAACGTGAAACTATTTCGCTGGTAATAACGGATATGAGTAAAGAAAATCAACAGCCTATTTATGCAAGATTATTCATAATTTTATGGGGGTTTTATTGGTTGGGTCTGATTATTGGGGGGGTTCATAACCTCCCCGGAAATTACGCCCCTGGAAGATGGGCTGAAAGATGAGGAGGCTAAAACAGCTCTGCCACATCTTTAAGACGCTCAAAAAAAAAGAGTTACAAAAGCTGCCTCAACATCGACCCCTGCTGGACAGAAAAGGATGTGAAGGCCTAAAACATCTGGTGATCACAGCGGAAGAAAATGATCACAGCAAACAGTACAACAGATAAAGACCTTTATGTTGCTTTAATTCTCTCTTCTTCTTCTTTTTTTACCTTTACATCACATGTAATTAAATATAACACATTTAGTTTTTGAATCTGCTGTTGTCCTGAGTAATCACTATGTGGCTCTGTTTATATCTGTGCAAGATAAATGAAACAATCATAATTATCATATTCTATATTTTCAGATTTGCTACATTGTTTTCTTATAATTAATTTGTTAAAGTTGCTAACCTCTAAATAGCTTTTTAACATTATAATCTGCTCATTATTCTCTTGACTGAACCACTGATTTACTTTGTGAGGTGTAAAAAAATAGTGAAAAAATGTCAGCTCAGTCAGTCAACACATGTGACACCTGCACTTGTTTTTGGTCATTTTTCATGTTTATTTCTTCAAGTAATTGAAAGCTCAAAAATATTTAGTGTGCATAATGTTAAACTATTAAGTAACTTGTAGCTGAAGTTTTCAAATCAACATATTGGAATAAAATCTGATCAAATATTTAACTTACCTCACAAATATGCTAAAATTAAAATGCAACAATAGTACCCGAAAATGAAAAAATAATGAAGCGGAAATGTGAAAAAGCTTCAAATGTACTCAGGTAAATTTGTAATTTTCATCATTTTAGTGTAAGTGTGTGAGCGTGTGCATCTATGACGGTAGGAGATGAAAGAAAGGAAGCCAAGTGAGGATGTGTCTTGACCAACATTTCATATGTGTGCCATCTCTCTCACTCTCTCACACACACACACACACACACACACACACACACACACACACACACACACACACACGCAAAGTGCTCAGTCCATGCTGGAGGCGACTGAAGGCATTGCACTACTAGCCTACTTTTGGACAGGTCAGTCCTCTAAAAGCGTCCAGCCACCGTGAAATTCATATTATTCCCGTGAAGCACACACACATACATACACACACAGCACGCACACACACACAGCACGCACACACACACACACACACGCACGCATGCACACACACACACCATATATTGTCTCTTTATATACTGAACATGCCTACATATTTTACTAAAAATGTGTTTTACAAGCCTAAAATTTAAATATGTCCATAAAAATTTACTTTGGTAAATGTACTACTGATAGCTGTTGGTAGATGTACAATAAGCCATAAAAACACGGCAGCACCTACTTTAACAGACTCATAAAGACATCTTAAAATTAATTTTATATTGAAACATTTTTCTTATTATATTCACACATTTTGGCCTTTTTTAAAATCCAGTACATATTCACGTATGTGTATATGTATAGTGAATTATTATCTTTGATTCAGCTAACTACAGCATAAAAATGACAGTTGTAGTGTAGTGCATAGGTAGTAATGATGAACATGGATACATTCCTTAATATAAAAGAAAGACGAACGAAACAATTTCTGGTGCCTTTTTAGTCACATCAATACAGGATTTCTAACAGGTCTAAGAATTAATCCTTGGAGACCACAGAAAACCTCTGCTATGAGTAAAGAGTAAGTATCCGTTAAGTATTCAGTAAATCAAATTGCCCCCTGTGTGCTCATATAATGATCTGTTGTACTGTTATAAAGTATTAGATCATTATTACGCATGCATTGATGCTTACTGCAAGTAGAGCTGTACTCTTTTGATGTGGCTGATGTGGAGCTAATTTATAAACTATTTTGTATTAAAACGTAAAAAAAAAAAAAAAAAAACAGTGAGAACTCCTCATCAGTAACACAGTGACAGTGTCCCGTTGAGTCCCAGTAACTTGTTAAAAAGTATCAAATCACCACATTTCGTGCAAATGATGATATTTTTAGTCTAAATAATCAACTTTTAAGATCACAGTGTTAGAAGTCACTCTAAGCACTTTTTAAAGGTGAATGCAGTGAAATGCGAGTAAAGTTTGTTTATTAGGCGATTTTTAAAGACAAAGCCCCGTGAGTGTAAAATAAATAAGAAATTGTCACAATAGCCAATAAAAAGACGCAATAGATGAGAAGGTGGGAGCTGTATTACTCCTCTAAAGTACAAGTACATGAAAGTGTGTTTAAGCGCAGTAATATTTATGTGCAGTGAGTTTAATCCAGTGATTTCTCAGTGAACGAGAAGCTGGATGAGGTCTGGCTGTCTGGAGACAACGTCAGCGTGCCATTGCGCATCCGGAGAGCGCGCGCTCCAGCGGTAGGAGCGAAGGGGAGGATGAACACGATCGTGGAGGTTTTGGTGTTGATGGTAATGGCGGGGAGCGCGTGAAGCCGTTTCTCGTGGGATTAACTCTCGTGGACATGGATTTAATGGACGATCGTAGTTGTTTTAGTTGTTACTTCTCCTGAGAGACGCAGACAAACAGAAAGGAGCGGGAGAGATGGGGGACCGACAGCGGCGGACCGGGAGACTCGAGAACCTCACTACCAAGTCCCGGGTTTCCAAGGAGACCAAGCTCCGGTTGCGCGTGGTCTTCCTGGATGACAGCGAGCGCACGTTCGAAGTGGAGGTAAGCCCTTCACAGGGGGCAGTGAAAACATTCATATTTACTTTTCTGAGTGGATCCACATACAGCACGTGTCTCTCTTCAAAACAATATTATAAATGATCAAATGTGTCGAATATGCGTTTTAAATCTGTCTGGATATTATTTTTTCCCCGTTTTGATAAAGCTTTCTGTCACTTTGTTTGCAACTTTCTTCCCCTCCTTCCTGAAAAAAGAAAGAAATCAAAGAGGGGGAATCCACCACGGGCTCTGTTCAGACTGGATTCTTCTCCAACATTTACGCTTTAATATAATATTGAGGATTATTATCTGGGAGTACCTGGTCATGCACTTCTCTGGTCTGACAGGGTTTAATCTGCTGTTTAATATAAGTTAAACCTGCTTTATAGACACTATTTTAGGTTTTTATAGCGTGCTTTATGCAGCAGAGAGTGTGTACTTGTACTAAAGTATTTATTTAGTTAGACTGCAAAACAGAAACTGACCATTTAAGCATAAATGTGCTTCACATTTATGCTTACGAGTGTTCCTTATTCTTAGGCACCAACATCCGACACAAACCCCGTGTCTCTGATTATCTCTGTTGAACAATCAAAAACAGAAGAAGAGCGCTGCAAGTTATATTTAAATAAATAGCAGATCTGTGGCCAGTATACTGTAGCAATACTACCATATTCCCATGTACTTATTTTTTCAGGTGGGTTTCAATCAGTGGCAAAACTGCAATCAAAGATACAAAAGCACAAGATTGCTGCACTCAATAATCAATTAATTTATCTATTACAGATAACCACAGACTGTATAAAAAGATGGAAAGAGTTTCAGGTCTGTCAATCTGGTCTTTCGGTGATGACGTATGAACCCTGCTTCCGGGTCCAAACTACTCTGAGTTTATTAAGGCTGTTGTGTTTTTAACATGTTTTAATGCTTTGCATCTTGTTCTATTTAATCTGAACAAGCACCTTTAAAAAGTCAGTGATAACTGTGAGACTCTCTCTGTGATTATTGCCACTATTCATTTTAGAGCTCGGTTTTTAAAACCTTACAATGTAACTACAGCCCAGCCCATGCAGCAGTATATGAATGTCTAACCTCGTATTGTGGATGGATTATCTCAGTTGTTCTCCTGACTGAAGTTTGGTCCATTTACATGCAATTACATTTGCCCCCGGCAGCTTTCACAGCTTTTGTGACATAAAAGAAATGATGGATTATATGATATGGAGAACACACAGGAGATAAATGTGTGTTATGTCCTTTCCTGCTTGCACTTACATAACATCGTTTTACCTTAGTGGCTCACAAAGAGAACTACAGTGTGAGTTGCTTGCCTACTAACATTAGCAACTTGAGTTTTAGTGTCATATCCAAGTGCAGTTTAGCACAAGTGAGGAGAACAATCAAAACCTCTCCCACCTGAGTTACTGCCACTCTTGACTCTCTCTCTGTGTTAGTTTGTCCAGTAAAATAGGGAAAAAGATGAAATAGGGAAACAAACTCTCAAGCTTTCTGACAACACTGGTACAGCTGTAACAGTTGATTGTTTGTCTTGCAGGTGCTGTTTAGCGACAGAAAAGTGTTTGTGAAGGCAGGTTTGTGTAGATTTATGCATTGCTAGGACTGCTCTCCCCCCTAAAAACTGAAATTAATGCATTAACGAGGCTCAAACCCCAGTTTCTTCATTAGAAATGGTGTGTTTGAACCACCTCCTGTCTAAACTTTCATTCTTTAAAAATGGAAAAGCTCCAAAATGTCTTTTCAGAAACTCTTACGTGGGCTGTTTCACATGGTAGGCACAAATGAGAGAAATTGTCTTTAAATATTAGTATTAGTCATCACAGTGACTAATACTGCCATTACTAATACAGTTTAATTTTCACTCAGCATTAAATATACTGATGCAGTCTTCAGTAACATAATGACAGGCAGAAGTCAGTTAAAAAATACCCTGTAACCTGATTTTTAAAAAAAAGTTTCATTACAGTTGTAGGTGCTTCAGGATTGCTGAACAGCATCCTACAGGAGTGCTTCCAAATCCGCTGTTTAGCGTCAGATTCTCCCAGTGTCCCTCCGTGATCGTCTCAGCAACAGCGTGATACGTAGTCAATGTCACCAGCAGCCCTCAATGGAAGAGTGGATTAGGAAGTGACTGCAATGATTTGGCCACATCTGCCGCATCACCTTTTGATGCAGCAGCACCCCGCCCACTGGAGAATCAAGCGTGGCTCGCCTAAGAAGACTTGGATCAAGCAAATTGAAGACGATTTTAAACAATGACGCCTAACCCTTGAGCAAGCAAATGTGAAGGCAAGAGACCACAAGGCCTGGGAATGCATCATTGACCAAAATGGAAACCCTACGGCACCCACAGCGATGTATTGGCTTCGTGGACAACCACCAGCTAGGGACAAAAGAAGAAGAAGAAAGATAGCCTGTACTGTTTGCATTCATACTTGTGCATTGATGTTCCTGATCTGCCATCAGGACTGCCTGAGCTGTTCATGTTGGACTTGGAGCTGATAAATGTTGAATGACAGCTGATTTTACTGTCACAGCAAACAGAAGACTTCAGAATCACCCCTGGCCAATAAGCGTGTTATTAGAGCTACGGAAACCAGAAAAATGGCACATGTCAACATTGTCAGAGAACTAGCTATTGGATTAGCGATGTTGGCGAGCTACTTTAAAGTTACCATGATATAGATTTCAATATCATATCTATGCTGTGGGTGTGCTGGAAGTTGATAGGTACCTACCTAGAAATGTTACTATATGTCAAATCGGCGCACTTTGATAGGTCTTTTAAGTGCTCCTGTTTACTCCTATGCATTTCTGGTTATTCTTGAACTCATTTTTCTCTTTTATTAGAAGAGAGAAACTTCACTGCCAGCATGTGTTTTCGCAGTGAAATAGCCGTACAGCAGAGAAACGCCATCCTGAGGGATAAAAGCAGGCCACAGCATCAGGCTCTTACATATGCAGATGCATATACATATATGCAATGCAGTATCATCACTGTGCTAGCATGTTTCCAATGTTAGCATGTCAACAATTCCAGTTAGAGACACATATAGCCATTTGGGGTTGCATCAGGAAGTGGATCTTTCATGAAACGCTGCCTGATCTATCTGACATTATCAATTGATACCAAGCAGAAATATCACAGTTGTTAACATCTGCATTGCTAAAAGTTATTGGAAAAAGTTTTGTGGTTGTATGTACAGTGTGTCTCTGAACACCTCCTAAAACCTGAATGTTGTTACCAGCTTCATAAGTCATGTGGCTGTAAGCACATCCACCACAAAGTAATGACAGAGAATTAAACTTAGATGGAAAATTCAATTTAATTTTATTTAACCTCCTAGGACCTGTCGTCCACATATGTGGACATCACATTTTGGGTTATTTAGACTAAAATACTCAATTTTGCTCTACAAGGGCCTGATATCCACTTACGAGGACATTATACTGCTACTGTTCTATCAAAATATGAAATGAATATCCTCATATGTGGCTCTTATTTTTCTTAAAAAAAAAATAAGGTAAAAAATAAAATAAAATCTGGTAATTCTTTGTTTTTACATTCATCAGGCCCCAATCAGCCCAAATATCAAAGAGAAATTAAAAATGCGTGTCGTGGAAGAGTTCGGGTCTTAGGAGGTTAAAATCACAACAACAGTCACTTCTTGGTGACTTAATTAAGTCTGTCAAAAGAAAGATTTATTTTATTTTTTTAATGGGCCAAACAGCTGCAGATGTTTACCAGCTGTGTGAGGTGTAAACACTCTGCTGTCTATGAACAGCCATGTGCTGCTCTACTATCCAGGTCAGAAAAAGCAGACCAACGGGCCTCTTTTTCAACATGGTAACGTCGCCTGCAAGGCAGTATTGCAATCTAAAAAGAATCTGTGTGTGAGTGTGTGTGAGTGTGTGTGCATGGCTTGCAGTATTGTGCTAGCAAAGGAGCTCCATTTTTCCATGCCCATGCTTTCTTCCCTGTCAGTTTCCCAGCGGCCTCCGGGACATTAGCAGAGTCTGTACAAGAGGAAAGAGAGCTGAAGGAAAAGGCATGGATGGACAGAATAGGGAAAAAATAAAATGTGATAAATTTAGTAAACACCCTGATCAGGCATAACATCACAACCACCTGCCTAATATTGTGTCAGTCCCCCTCTGTACTGCTGTGGGGTCTTTACCTTATGATATAAAGAACCTAGAGGTGACTGTAGTTGGGAATTAGTGTGATATGAATAAAATTTAATTTAGCTTAATTTTGCTGCCAAAACATCCCTGACTCACTGAGGCATGGACTTCACTAGACCCTTGAAGGCATGCTGTGCTATCTGGCATCAAGATGTTAGCAACAGATCCTTTAAGTCCTGTAAGCTGTGAGGTAGGGCCTCCGTGGAACGGACTTGTTTGTCTAGCACATCCCACAGATGCTTGCTTAAGATATGGGCAACTTCAAGGCCAAGTCAACACCTCAGACTCATTGTTGTGGTCCTCAAACCATTCCTGAACCATTTCTGTGCAGTCCTAAAAGATTGATTCTATTCATCTGTATGTAGCATTTTCAGTGGGAGAAACGTTTCGTCACTCATCCAAGTGACTTCTTCAGTCTCAGCTGACTGCAGGTTTCCCCAATCTTATAAACAGTACATTTGCATAATGACTGAAACCAGCCCACTGAAGGAACAATGGGCTGGGAGGTCAGTTCCTTGATCATTAATATGCAAATTCTCTTGAGCATTGATCAACACCACTGATCAAGGCTCATTGATCAAAGATCACTGATGAATTGCGATGAGTACCATTCACAGAGAGTTTGGGAATGGCTGCAATCACAGCATTGTAAGATGGTGAAAGATGTACCCTTAGGCCCCCTCCTCGATTCAGAGATGGTCTTTCCCTTTTCAAGTAAATGGCCTCATTGACTCCACGCTCATACCAGCGTTCCTCCCTGTCCAGGATGTGTACATCCTCATCCTTGAAAGAGTGTCCAC